AAAAAAAAAAAAAAAAAGTTCTGCTCAGCACTAGTGCTGTGTTGGGGTGGTAGGTGTTGATTCCAGAGTCCCCAGGGGCTCTGGGATCGATTGGAGAGTAGAACCAGCCCCATGCTGTTTAGACCATTTTAAAGTGGGCTGTGTGTTATGTAGCATGATCCAGCCTATCCTGACCAGCACAGCATCTCTTCTGCATCTCTAGGACAGAATATGCACATAAGCCGAGAGTATTTGTTTTAATTTGTGAAGTCAGGTTGAACATAGTAAGAATTTTGTCTGAATTGTCATTCTTGCAGTTTCGGTAAGTACCCAGTCAAATCCCAGCACTCTCTGAGATTGAGGCAGGAGGATCACAAGTGCTGGGAATGTAGCTCAGTGCAAAGGCCCTGTGTTCAATCCTATTACAGGGTGGGAGCAGTCACAATGACACACCTGTGTTGGCAGTTTTCATCAGTGTGATGAAACTGAATTAGAAATGCACCACTTAATGGTCTTTGTGGGGTGTTTTTGCAAACAGTCCATGTCTTCATGGGAAGATATTCCTTAGGTCTGGATGACATAAGCTTGTCTTCACACTGTTTTTCTGTTTCTTGCTTTCACGGATATGAGCTGGGAAGACCTGATCGCCTATGTGAGATATGGGGGTAGAAGTTTTGTTATGGTGGTGTTGTTCAACCAGTCAGGATCCTGTTGGTTAAAAGTACACGTTAATGCATCCCCAAAAGAAAGAATGAGCCGTTCCCCCAGTGCATTCCTTCTGGGACAGGATTTGGGAAGAGCACCCTCCAGTCTGGGCTACCCCAGGCACTGACACCACTCTACGCTCACAGGCTAGGCCTCCATGGTCCTACCAGGGTGCTATGGAGGACCACCCTCTGGTCCTCACCCACCTCCACTCAGCCGCCTCGCTGGAAGTGAGGACGGCATCGAGGTGAGAGGAGAGTGGGGTAGCAAGGGTTTGGGGCCAGGGTCAGCTCGGCCAGGTGCTGCTCCAGAACAAGAACAGCAACTCCACAACCTGGAGAACAGAAAACAGGATGCCATTTATGGAGAACTATGGTATGTCTAGGAAATAATCCAACAAGATAGTGCAATAAAACCTTTATGGAGAAATTATTATAGTTCTAAGATACAAAGAAGGTCTAATAAGTGGAGAGATGTACTATGTTACTGGACGATATCGCAGTACAGGTTTAAGTTTTTCTTGAATTAATCTATATATTCAAGGCGATCCTAGTATTCCAGCTAGATTTATTTTTCAGAAACCTGACCTAGGTCATTCTAAAATTCATACAGAAGATAAAAAAAGGTCATGAATCCTACATCAGTGTTCAAGAATACCTGCTGTGCGGACACATTGATGAGGTCTGAGGCCATAGGTAGATAGGAACACCGTCCCGCATAGGGCATGGCTCACCTGAGTGAAGGGCCTGGATCGGTAACTCCTCAACCCCAGGAAAACTCACTCACTATGAAAACTGGCTTCCTACCTATATTCTTCCAGCTAACAGGTTTATTTGCCAAATGGCCAGCATATCCCATGGGATTTCGGGAGTTGCAATCTTCTGATGAAGATCTCTTGTCTCCAAATTACTGCTTTAACCCACCTCAAAACAGAAACACTGTCACACCCTAGGAGGATAATGAAATGGCTCTATGACAGAAAGCCCAAAAGCCAAATCTTTTTAAAATAAAAGTTTCAAAACATGAGTAGTGTGGCTGACAACAGTGGTTTGCCACACTGCCTCAGCCATTGTTTTTGGGAAGCGTCAAGGGCACCCACAAGCCTGAGATGGAGTCTTCAGAGGGCCTCAAAGGTGACAAGTGTTGGGGCCTGAGTCCATAACTGGGTTAACCGGCTGGGAGCTTGTGGGGATGGAACCTGAGGCGGGATGCAGCTGACCGGGAGTCGTGGGAAGTAAAGTGTGCAGGTGTAGGAGCACAGAAGGGTGAGCATCCAGAGAAGAGGACAGACTGGACACAGGCCGGGCTTCCTGCTGTGGGCAAGAGTTTACGTCATACCTAGTAGGTGAATTACTGCAGGAAATTAAAACCCCAAGCTACTTAAAAACAGTGCTGCCACCTGCCTTGCAGGCACAAGGTACTCAGTCCAATCCAAAGGGGTGGGGGGGGGTGAAGCGATGGAGCCAGGGGTTTCTGCGAGTGACCAGGGCCAGGACAGAGCGCCTGCGCTGTCGCCAGTGGCCAGACCCAGACGTGGGTGGGCAGGAGGGCCACGGAGGTGGCAGGGAGCCTCAGGCTGGCGCAGACCTGAGGAGGTTGGCAAGAGCAGAGAAAGGAAGGAGGTGCGGGCTGGAAGCAGGTGCACCGCACGGGGTGACGTCGCGCCGATGGCCGCAGTGGAGGGACTCACGGGAGGGCAGGGGTCGCCGGGATTGGCGCCCCACAGCGTCTCCGTGCTAGGG